CTTTACTTACACGTGCTAAGTTTTAAGGTAACAAGCACACACAAAAAATCTCCCCTGATGAATAGAACCACCGATAGCTCTATTTCAGCCAAAAAACAAGAAATCTCCGAGTAAAAATGCACTCTCCTCCAAATTTATTAAATTACAGTAACAAGTTGAATTCTGAATTTGAAATAGTTACGATGATCAATATTGCTCTTAACTAACAAATTCAATCACAAAAAAGCAAAGGAAACCAAAACAAAACCAAGAACACAAAGAGAGAAAAGATTTCGGTAATGCCCAGCAGCTCAGTCTTTTGTACTGAGCACAGTCTTTTGTCATAAGGCCCAACTCTTTTGTCCCAGTTCCGGGCTCCCCAGCTCAGCATATAAAGCCTATGTACTCGAAAACGGGTCACCGGGCAAGGAGTGGTTAAATTTTCAATGACTATTTGACAAAGGCAAATTTACAGTACATACGTATATGCAAATACATTAAATATAGGGTCTGATAAAAATGTCTCTGAATAGACCTCTTCACTGATACCCTCATAATTACGTACGCATGTGCACAAATGGCCTTGGCTGCAAGAAGTGTGAGCGGGCCATTGAAAATGTACAGGGGTGCGGCTTCGATGTTTATTTTCTCTCAGGTTTTCTGACTTTAAGTCAGGTTTTTCGTTTTCGCTATTAGTTTCTAATTTAAGTGGAATTTTTAGTGCTCCGTAAAAAGATTTCAAAATTGTAATTTTTTCCTGTGAGCATGAGATCATCATTTCTTAGTATGGCCCCCTTCCATCCTAAGTAGTATCAACCACATCATTGAAGTCGCTCCCCTGTACATTTTCAATGGCCTGCTCACACTTCTTGCCGCCAAGGCCATTTGTGCACATGTGTGCATGATTATTAATTTATTAGTGAAGAGATCTATGATTTCCTGCCCTCAGTGCAATTAATAATAAATACAAAAAGAATGAAATTTTCTTTTTCCCCATCTTACTCGTGTAGTTGCCACCAACAGGTTCAGGTTTACGGTATGGAAAAATTAAAAAGAGAACCTCTAAGGAAAACATGTTTCTTTGATTTTATCTGTTCAAATAAATATAGAAGCATCCAAATTGAACGCAGTGTCATTTGTCTTCAGAGCTCAACTTTAACAAGCTTAAAAGGACTTTTTTTCTGTTCTTACCAAGACGCCATTCTAAATGTAGACTGCATCATTCCAAGAAGACAGAGAAAACGAGGGGAACCCTAGCTCTGTGTCTGTAGTGGACAAACCCTTGTGCATGCCAAACCATGATTACAAACAATGGCTACATGCATTGTTAGGCACGCACAAGGGTTTATCCACTGCTAACAGGGGGTTCCCCTCGTTTTCTCTTTTCTCCCAGTGACACAATCTACATTCAGAATTCGCATCTTGGCACGAACAGAAAAAAAGCCCTTTCTAGCTTGTTAAAGTTGAGCTCTGAAGACAAATGACACTGTGTTCGATTTGAATGCTTCCATATTTATTTGAACAAATACAATCAGAGAAAACATGTTTTCCTTAGAATGGCTCTTTAATACATTCAACTTAACTGATAACCTAAAGATTAATGTAACATTACGAAGGACACACACACAAATAAATCTCTCTACACACATGGCTTCAAAAAAAAAAGAATGCCTAAATCCCTCGACCATTAGGATGAGCTTCTCAGATAAATACTTGCGATGGCCATATTTCTTTTCAATATGCAACATATTTAGGGCTAGTACCTTGAAGCAAGACTTGGAGACAGTTTGACAGAGCTGAAATCTGGTCATCCCAAGTCAATCCCTAGTCCTCAGGTCTTGAGGCAAATAATGAACTAGTCAGGCACCCTGTTCAGTCCTTTGGCATTACTGAACTCCTGAATCGTCCTTGTGCTGTGACTTGCGATTGACTGGATTTTAACTGCAGTTTAGCCACCTTTATAAACACTTTGTGCACTATGTTACAGACCCCCCCCAAAAAAAAGCTATTACATGTAAAAGTTAGCTCAGCTGGGTTTTTTACACCACCCTCCCCATACACTGGAATACCTGGAAATGTTCAGTCAGTTCCCTGCTGATCCCAGAGTAGAATGTTGTTGATGTCCATGAAGTCTACAGAGTCTAAAGGTGGCAAGTCTATGCAGGAGTCAAGGCTCAGTGGGGTGTCCACATCAAAGCAACTCACTGGTGTATCTGGGATTGACGGGGAAATCGCAATCCAGCGAGGAAAGAAAATGAAAACAACCAAGATGGAAACCTAGCTGGTTTTCTAATCTATCATGCCACTTGCGTTATAACCCATGCGGGTGGAATTGTGAGTTTGAGAGCTGTTTTACAGTCATTTTTTTTTTAATATTCAAGCTCCACGCGAATGTACAAAACCACAACACTCTGTGATGTGAATTCCAAGCATAAGTGCTTTTTTACCCCTTAATAGCGACAATGGCATCACAGAAGGATTATGAAAGACAGTGCTAATGGCCACCATGCTCCCAGTGTGCAAACAAATGCATTTTGAGTTTGTACAGATTCAGATGAAATCCAGTTCCTTGTACATACGAGGACCAGTGAAAACAATCAGCGTGTCCACACATTGGAGCTCTGGTGACTATGAATCACCTTCTTCTGTTCCTGTGCTGAGCCCACACAAAACATTGCACGAGGGAGCAATTATCCATTGTACTGAGCAGAAAGAGGGCTGTGTATGCCCCTTAATATTGGAATTTTGGGCAATTTTTAATGGTTACAACATGGTGAAATTGGCAATTATCAAAAAAATAATTACATCATTGATCGTCCTCATTTTCCGACAAGATCTATCTCTTTACTGACTCAAAACTGCAACTCCTCTATCCCATGCTTCAAGGGAGGGGATGTTTTTCTGTGAACATCTTCCCCAGATTGTTTTAGATGCAAAAATGTTTCATCTCTATTAAAAAAAAAGTGAGAAAGCAGGAGTGCTTGCTACTTGACTTGTGTTTCTGTAAAAGACTCCAAATCAAGTGCAAATGTAATTCAGACAAACAGTGTGCATTATATTTCAGGTAATGACTGTGCCCACGGAAAAGCTGAATGAAACTGGCCTAAGAAATGTGTACCAAAACTTCTTCAACTTCAAACAAATTCCACAACGCCCGATGTGACTACGCCTATGACATATTCCTTCAGACTTTTTTTAGGACTAAAGCACTGACAGGTGCCTAAAGCAGTAACAGTCCCATTTACCTGTGGAGCCACTTTCCAAAAACCTGTCATTGGCCTCCAGCTGCAGGTGTGAGAAGTCGGTAGGGCACCCTTGAGGTGCCTTTGTCTGTGGGTGTGGCATTGGGGGTACCCGGAGGGAGGACAGTCTGTCTAAGTACACACTCAGACAGTCCTCTGGAGGTAATGACTCAAATTCTGGCTCTGTGGTGCAAGACATAAATAGCAACCAGAAAGAAAAACTCATAGGTGGGGGCCAACAAAAATTCAAGAAACCAGGTAGGGTTGTGTGATTCATTCACTGATATTTGAAAATCCTGTGCCTGTAAGTCAAACATGACTGGGTGTCAGACTAAAACTAAATGGAATTCATGAAAAGAGGGAAAATTAGATTTAAAACAATTTTTTTCCACACAATTTTATCTTTACAAGATACACTAGGCAATTTAAAAACTGGAAAAGAAGGATCTTTCCACTCTTTTTTCCGTTATAAAGCAGCAGTTGCAGTATCTACAGCATTCTGGGATACAGGGTAATTTTACCATCAGAATCTGCCTTTTCAATTAGTTTCCAGACCTTGGCCTGTATGTCTTGGAACAAGTCATATGCCAAATCACATGCTAAGTTTTACAGCATTTTACCATTTAGGTTAAAGTTAGTCATCATTGTAAACTGGGAGCTTTTCCCATTTGTCCTTAACCACTTCCTGCAGAATCAGAGACGTACATGTATGCTTTATATGCGCGGCCGGGGTCTCCTAACTCCGACAAAGGAAACAGGGCAAACAAAAAGAACAAAAGACCAGGCTGCTGGGCATTATCAACATTTTTCACTCTCAAAAGTGGTGATAATCCAGCCTTCTTTGGAAACTGTATACCAGGGTTTGGGGCATTTAGAGCAAGTGGATTACCACCAGGGACAAAAGCACTCCACCACCGCAGCGATGAGCCACACAGCACAGCTGCACGCTAATCTGGGCCCTATTGAAAAGAGGTCAGCAGTGCACTGAGCCAGGTTCGTGAACAAAAGAAAGTTACATAACACAACACAATCTGGGCTCTTTTTCCAAGGCTGCAGGCCTGGCTGAAATACTCAGGCGTCAATGAAGGTCACCTGTCAACTTAGAGTAGGCCTAAAGATTACTTCATGCAGCTTTAAACGTCCGTTGAATAAAATGATGAATTTTTGAAGAATTTTGGAAATGGAAAAAAATTATAATTATGCCGGCCCAGCATCATCAACCTTGATAAATGCCCCGGCAGAAAGTGGTTCACCATTTTTTGCCGGGTACTTTAAAAATACAGTGCCTACATACGCACGATTTTCAAGATTTTCTGTTTTCAAAATTCTTTAAAAAATCACAATTTCATTTAATGGACGTTTACATTCACACGAATGACTGTCTGTTGGCTACTTTAATCTGACAGGCAACCTCCACTGATGACAGAGTATTTCAGCCAGGTCTGCCGCCCTGTAAATAGAGCCCGGAATTGTGAGGTGTTATGTAATTTCCTTTGTTCCTAGTGAATGCAAGTGGCACCTTTTCAAACGTGGCTGGATTAGCGTGCAGCGGTACTGTATCGCTCATTGATGGTGAGCTGGAGCACTTTTGTCCACAGTGCTAATATGCGGGGGCGCTATGCTGATATACTGTTTCGAAACAATGACGGATTACCTCCAATAAATGCAAGCTGAAAAATGATGGCAATTCCCAGCAGCAGGTCTTTTGTTTCAAGTATGGTCTTTTGTTACAAGGTCCAGCTCTTTTGTCTGATTTCGGGCACCCTGGCTATGCATACAAACCCAAAGTACCCAAACCAGGCTCCCCGGCAGCATATGGTTAATGTCGTAATCATTAAGAGTTTCAGTTTCAGTTTTTCAGTAGGTTTCAGTTTTTAAAATATCCAAGATTTTCAACTGTGTATTTTAAAATATTCAAGACTTTCAACTGTACATTTTGCAACTGTTCAAACTAAATGTGGTAATAGCTTCAAGTTGGGTGCAACAGTCAAGTGTAAGTATGTTACCAGAAGGAAGGATTTAACACATTGAAAAGAAAAGCCTATTCTTTATTAGACAAAATGGGGCTGGATGTCCCTGGAAAGATATAAGTATCAAGAATATCCTTTTGGGTCTCTGCAGACAGGAAGTTTTAGCTATTACAGAAAAATTCCCTGCAAAAAATTATGAAGAGTTTAACAGGGTTAAGACTCTTCTATATAAATGCCTTATTAATATATATATGTAATAAGACATCTTCGTAAGAATATTACAACTCCGTATTCAAGGCCCTCAAGTGGGTGCACGGCTGTGTGCAGTGTGCAAATGTGGCCCACTATGTGAAAATGAGTCTTAAGTCTCCAGAGCCACTTTTTGAGTTTTCATTTGTACTAGAAAGAGCAAATTTAGTTTTTTGTTTTGATGTATCACTCAGTTTGGCATCCTGAAAAAAGTTGGTACTTCATGGTGAAAAAAACTGTGGGTTCCTATTAATTTACACAGTGCAAAATTATTCTAGAGGACTTTTTACTCCAAAGTGGCTCTGGCGACTTAAGACTCATTTTCACAGAGTGGGTCACAAATGCTCTATACATACACGCTTGTTAAACCAATACATTCAAAGTATGGCGGAGCCGATTCACATCACTAAAATTTGATGTCTAACATGCTGATGCACGTGGCAATCTGTCAGTCTGTAGGAATTACCATCAGTTGAGGGAGACCTATAATGTTAGTGTAATTGAAATCTTGTTGGAATTACGCTTACCATACAAATGCTATTTTTCTCGTTGGAAATAATTCACACAGAAAATAGTTTCCTGACTGAAATACCTTTAAACTAATAGGTTCAACAAAATCTATCATCAATTGAACTAAATTTATACCTTCAAACTAATAGGTTCAACAAAAACTATCATCTATTACACATATTAATTCCCTAGGGTGTGTGTAAAATCCTATTAAAAATGGAGCATTGGGGACTGTTACGGTAAACAAAGGTAACAATTCTAGGACAGTTCACCTTTAATGGAAGCCTGAAGATTATGGTTCTTCAGTAATAAAAAAATGTAACCTGTTTCCTACCTTTATCTTGGTAAATGTGCATTGTTTCTATTTCAGGATAGCTGTCTGTGGGTCTGACAAGATTAGATGACACTGCCATCACCTGCGGCTTTATCTTGTGTTTGGATGCCAACATCTGAAAGAATTAAGTGAAGCTACCACTGAGAAATAATATACAAATAGGATTTATTGGTGATTGATGACAACTTATCACTAGTTGATTAATAGATTACTTCATGGTTGTTGTCACAGACTTTTGTGCTTGTGGTGAAAACTGCCGACATAGCTAGCAATGTGTGAGATCTTTGCATCAAGATGCGTTGCAGGATACAAATCAATTCAATTCAATGATGGTTTATTACAATATCCACCTTAAGCAACACACGGCTGAATTGTCAGTGAATTTACAGCATCAGGACAGTAAAAGAGGTAAATAAAACAAACTTGTATCGTTAAAATGAACAAAAAAGCCATCTTAATCAAAGTACTTGTAAATTTACATGTATAAAAAGGGATTCACAACGGAAATAAAAAGAAAAAATAAAACAGGATTAAAACGACAAGAAAAAAGAATCATGACATTAAGAGGCAACAGTAACAAAAGGAATCACTGTTACTGTTAACGATCAACATGCATTACAACAATGGACAAGGTATGGTAAGGCACTACTCTTAATTCTGTTGGTTTTACAGTAGAATTCAGGAATGTTAGCTTTTGTGTCTGAGGGTCCTGAGAGTGTTGTTAGAAGGGAGGAAATCTTTGAACTGACCGCTTTTATTTAAAGATTTTTCAATAAATGAAACAAAAAGGGATTTTCTACGGTCTTCCAAAGATTGAAGCGAACAGCGGGAAAGTATATCATCATATGTTGTGTAAGAGGATCCGAATATTATCCACAATGCACGTATATACATATACAGTTAATAAATCCTCACACAGTACATGACTCTTCATATGACATAGCAGTGTACAGTTTGTCATTGGCACGTTTCTAAATATCTTCAACGTGTGTTTCCCATTTCAAATCATTTTGGATGTAAACGCCTAATACCTTTACAACTCTAACAATGGCTAGATTATGATCACCGATAACAATGTCTGGTCTGCTTGGGGGATTTCGCATTAAGGAAATATCCATTATAAATTGCGCAGGATTTAGTTTCATCGTATTTCTATCAGACCACTCAACAAGGTTATCTACTGCAGATTGGATATATGACAGTTGGCCAGTACCTCAGCACTCAAATAGTGTGACAAAAAAAATAATAGGTCCGAGTTTCATGCCCTGAGGAACCCCAGCATTAACCACTTGCTGCTGGGTGGTTTGAACACTGCAGTGCACAAAATCGGGACTTTTTCAAGATTTTCAGTTTTTTAAATTTTTCAAAAATTCATCATTTCAATTAATGGACGTTTACACCTACACAAATTACTGTGTGGTGGCCACTCTAGTCTGACAGACAAAATCTATTGGCATCCGAGTATTTCAGCCAAGCCTGCGGCCTTGTAAGAAGAGCCCAGATAGTGTGGTGTTATGTAACATTCTTTTGTTCACGAACCCAAAAAATTGCACTGCTGACCTCTTTTCAATAGAGGCCAGATTAGCGTGCACGTATTATGTGTGCAGGAACGCCTTCCGGCCCACAAAAGGTCTTTTGTCAAATTTTGGCCATGACACTGTGAACTTCCAATGTGAAAACATTTGGACATGTAGTGGGTGTTGGTAGATATGTAGGCAAGGCATTGTGATCAAAGGAGTTCAACAAGGACAGGAAAAAATCTGACCGCAACTTTATAGAATCACCCACCTGCAACATCATCACATCCACCGTAACTACATTCACCATTACCTTACCTGACTGGATGGTGTTGCCGAGCTGGGATTTTTCATTGACAGTCCTGGGGTCTTTGACAGTGAGCCCAGTGGTTTCCTGAAGACCCCGCTCCCGCCAACTGACTTGATGGGCTTCTTCTGACTGTTGCCGAGGCCACTAGCTAGGCGTGTGGCATCATTGCTAAGGTTCCCGAGGGCTCGACGAGGAGTGGCAATGGCAGATGACCCTACACTGAATGTCTTTCCAGGTATTCCTTTGAGGAAAGGGAAAAAAAACAAACATTTTGATCGACACCTGTCATTGTGACAAATGAATGTAGCATTATAAGAACTGATGCTGAGACGCCTGTCTCAGATGACTTCTCCTTAACTGGAAAATACATAAAAAAGCCAAGCGGTCTAAATCCTGCTAGATCCTTTGAAATCTACCAGCAGGTTTAGAAGCACACAGGATCAAGGAAGGTAGAGCCTACCAACCATTACTTTTAAATGGGGATCGATGCAACATGAAAGTAAAAGTACAAAGAATACTGGTTCTCTCCACAGCACATAATTTTGGAGGATTCAATTAGATTTAGCAAGGTCCTTGAGTAGCAAAAAAGCTCAGGGAGTTAGGATTAATATCACTGAATAACTATTGCGATCAGCAAATTTGAGAAAAATCTCAACCCAACCTACAATTTTTTCTGCATTTTTTGGGTTACTTTTCTAGTTATATTCCACAGGCATACAACTTGGACTTGACAAAAAAATGAAGAAGTTCCAATCTTTATTAGACTTTGTACAGCAGTTTTCAATTCTCAATGGCATGTGTGAAGTGAAAATGAGGATATCGGCTGATCCGAGGAACACTCGCATGCCTGATTCTGGATTGCTACATTTCTTTGGATCTCCCTATCAAAAGAGCTTTGAAAAATAATTGACAAAACATGAACTGTGCAAATCTGTTCTCATTTTAATCTAGCACTGTGTACATGTACAGTCACCAGCTACATGTAAATGTACGCTTTGCACATCCTCCAAACCTAACGTACAAGTACATGAACTTGTAGCTCTGTTTGCTAGAATGAGCGCTTCTATCTAAACGAAACTAATACCTTGTCGTCCAGCCACTGAGCCAAAGCGAGCCTTGCCATTAGTTGTCCCATGGCTGGTAGTATTTTCCTTGTCAATGTATGACTGCACGAGTTGGGATGTCATGCTGTCAAATTGTACCTTGATGGAAGCAGTGTTGAATTTTCTTGAGTACATTTCATTTACAATATTGGCAAAAATTCATTACAGGCATTTCAGTTTTCTAGGGCAACCCAAAGCATGTAAATGTGTAATAAAATTAATTACAGTAATTACATCAAGTAGACAAAAATGTTGTGTGTCATAAGAAGACCTGAAAAGAATTCCATATACGAAGGCACTCAACACCCTGTGCACAAACCCTGCAAGACTGATCTGAAAAGTTCTGTTTTCTAAGTGACTGTTTAGGACATTTCACTGCTTTCAGGTGGTTACTGCAGAACTGTAGGGAAAAATTAATGGTGTCTGTGTATGAAATTCTTTCCGAAGACCTCCTGCTATAATCCCGACTGCTAAACTCAATATTTTCGTGGCACTTTCCCTATTTGGGACGTTGTCGAGACATTTCTTTCAATTCTGAAATGTCTGTTCTTGGGCAAAAAATTTGAAAATGGACTAAGCTTATCCATGGCCTTGTTTGTACTGGTCTACAATCAATCATGACAGTTTATCCAGTATGCCATGTGAGAAAAGGCATGTGGCTCATTGTTGAAAGATGCCGCTGCTTTGCCATGTTTGAAGTACAAACAGCTTGCACAACCATACAGCACGCCATCACCTAGAGTAGATGTTGTCATAAAATTCAGGCAGACCTGCCAACATGCTGTACTTCTTTCTGAGGTCAGGCATTACCACACAATAGATTAAACTGAAGGCTCATTTAAATACCTTTTAATCTATTGTGTGGTAATGCCTGACCGCAGGGAGGAGTACACCCAGGTTGGCAGGTCTGTTCAGGGATAATGAGGGTACAAAGTGTTGCTAATAACACAGAAACAAAAGAGGAACTGAAAATCAAGCTTCTAATGTCATGATCCATTATCCATAGAACAGTACCAGCTGAGTTTTCCTAGTAAATCAGACAGTTGACAATGTAGAGACGACATCATACATGGTGCATCAGCTGCAAATTATTGGTTGCAATATCACAGTTTTGGACGTCTGGTTGTCAAAATTTGGGTGGGATCATTATCATTATTAATTATTTCTGGTAATGACACCAAGGAATTCCTCCACAGGCCTTGCGCTAACTTTTTTTCCTGGCTAGCCCACTTGGCTACTTAACTGGATATTTCACTAGCCCGTTTAGAGTTTTACTAGCCCATATATAAATTTTTTTAAAAACCCAACATTTGTTACAAGCCTACCAATAAAGAATTTCAGAAATAAAAGGGTGACGGTATAAATAAAGAGGCATGTATGTTAGTTAACCCCTTGACGATGGGAATTTCTTCCCGAAAGCCGTCTCCAAGAATTCCAGCCTCGCTTGGCCACGAAGGCCACCTGCCAAACTGCAAATTCTCGGTCTGTGGCCCTGCGTGCTCTGCACGCTTTGAATTACACGGTGAAAAGGCTGATTGTTCAGTGGCATGAGGCTCTACTCACCCTTCCACATTCCCGTTGCCCCAAAAGTGGGGACTATTGTGAAGCTGGTGTTTATGATGCAAAATCGGTCTTTTCATTTCCAGGCTACGCACAAAGACCAATTACCATATATACAAGAGCCAGGGTCTGCCTTCTTTCACCGTTTTCGCTCGAGCACGGGCAGAGAATAATAGCTGAAAAGCGGGCTGAGGGATCTCAATTTTTACAGTGGCTATAGTCGCCTCCCGGTGCGAAGGGGTTAAAAGTTGCTTGAGTCACTGGTCACGGAGTCGGGATCAAAATCTGTTTGCTCCATCTTTCCTCTCATTTGGGTTGCTTACGTTTGGCAAAAATTGCCACTTTTTGCTTACTTTCTGACCTCCGCACATGAACGGTGAATGAGAAAAAAATTTTTCCAATCAGAAGAGGGTGCTGTATCAAATGCTTTCAAGGACTCCTGCAATGCCCGGTACATAGCTAGCTGTGGCCAGTTAAGGTCAGAAAATTTGATAAGGCCAAACAAATACTTCTGGTTGCAGTTTCCCCACCGACCGTAATTTTTCAGCATGACCCTAAAATTTGTATCGGCAAGTTAGAAAAACAAATGCAAAAAAACCAAAAAATTTATGCAGTTGTCTTTTCACAAAACACCTTTCAACAACCTTTTCTCATGTTAACCACTTCCTGCCTAGGACTCCAGAATCGGAGACGTATGCTTTTTATGCGTGGCCGGGGTCTTCGAACTCGGACAAAAGAAACAGGGCCTGTAACAAAAGACCATACTCCGAACAAAAGACCAGGCTGCTGGGCATTAGCAACATTTTTCACTCTCGAAAGTGGTGATAATCCAGCCTTCTTTTGAAACCGTTTACCAGGGTTTGGGGCATCTATAACGAACGCATTACCATCGAGGACAAAAGTGCTCCACCACCACAGCGATAAGCCACACAGCACCGCTGCACGCTAATCTGGCCCCTATTGAAAAGAGGTCTGCAGAGCACTGAGCCAGGTTCGTGAACAAAAGAAAGTTACATAACACCACACAATCTGGGCTCTTTTTACAAGGCTGCAGGCCTGGCTGAAATACTCGGGCGTCAATGAAGGTTACCGGTCAACTCAGAGTAGTGCCTAAAGATTACTTCGTGCGGCTATATATGTCCGTTTAATGAAATGATGAATTTTTGAAGAATTTTGAAAACGGAAAAAATGATAATTATGCCGGCCCAGCATCATCAACATTGAAAATGCCCCAGCATGAAGTGGTTAACACACTTGTTTTCATATGTTTTTCTCCTTACATTTGCAATTTTTGAAAAGAAACCCCTGTCATTTTAATGAGTACCACTCACACTTTGCTGTCGCAATGGTGAAAACATGTGCGCAAATGAGATTTTTTTTTCACCAATTTCTCGCTTCCACCCGTTGACTGTCACATGTTTATGCCGTCAGACTGCATATGCGTTGAGCCCACCAATGACCGCACACTTGTTGCTTTCATCGTGGGACCTGGGCGGACAAAATGTGCTGCGCCGTGTGTGATGTTATCCGCCGCCACTGAAAATAGTAGAGCCAAGATGCGAAGCAAGCGCATGGTTATTGGTGGGCTCAGCGCATGCGCAGTCTGATAAACATGAGCGACAGTCAATGGGTGGAAGCGAGAAATTGGTGAGAAAAAATCTCATTTTTTTCAAAAATACTCTGTCTTATGCTCTGAAACATTTGTTATCCCCTTTTTTGGAGGTACATGGAAAGATTAAGCGGGCATGCTGACGGAAAGTTTAATAGGCCTAGCCTTCTTATGGCTGTGAACCATTTCACCACAAAAAATCGATTCCAAAACCCCATAGCGTTACGACACCATGTAAACCTTGTCTCCTCCAAGTCACACAGAGTATCACCATGATCACAGAGTTAGCACTGGTTAGTGACTTAGAGTTCTCAAACATATCGAAGTAGGCCTAGCTGTGATCACAGATGTCGTCTCCAGGACATTACCTATGGAAGACTTTCGCCCAACCATGTCCAAATGTTAAACAAAGGCGATTTTAAGGGTCTACGTTACTCGGACTAGGTTTGGCCTACCTCCGACAAGTGTTACCCCCAGAACTATAGTATGGGGTCCAACGTCTGCCCCGCTCCCGTTCGTGGGAGCAGGGCGGACGTCGGACCTCACAATTCTGGCATGTCTAGGGGTACTCGAAGTAGTGGCCAACACCCTTCCCTACATGTCCCATTTTAAGAATACAGTAAGTGAACATATGTGTTTGTTCAGCTTCATACTTGCCTACCTTAATTTGTTACTTCACAAAAAGTCAACTGAGTGTCGGAAATAAACGACCAACGGTTTCTATTCGAGAACTCTTCTTGACCGTGCGCAATCGGCTTTTCCCATTAGTAAAAACGTGCTGTCAGCTTCAAAAGAAACTTAATATAGAAATAATACCAACCTCAAACAATGCTGAGACAAAAACTTAGAAGTAACTCACAAACAGGCTTTTCAAAATTCCGAATAGGCCTAATCTCAAGTGAAACGCGTCGTCACAAGATTTAAGGTCAGCTCAATTCACTTTCAGGGCACCTGACGGACTGACTGGCCGGACAAAATGTTTTCGAGAATCCCGCAGCACAAAAATTCCAGCCAATCACATAACAGGAAAAACAAGCGGTGAAATGACCGTTGGTGGCGCTGTACAACGCGATTATTCCAAGCAAATCGCGCAAAATTAATATGAAATTCCTTGAAATACCTTTAAAAGGCGATTTACATTTGCCAATCAAATTACATTGGGCAAACTCTATATGAGCGGATACAGTGCCTTAAATAATCTCCTTCACAAGTGGATCAACCGCCTTTTTTAAAAACAATTTTGACCCAACTAAAACAGAAACATGAACGACACAAGAATGTCAAGCTTTTGTCAAATTTGTGGGTCCTTTTCAGCTTTTATTTACAATTTTCAATCAAGTTCATAGACATTTACAAATGGATATTTTCAAATGAATTTTGATTAGAATACCTAGGGTCTAGTTTAATTAGTTTATCCAAGTACCATCGTGATTTGACCCCCTAAACTTAATTTAAGAAAAACGAAAACTGTTGTCTCATCACTAATCAGGAATAGCCATAAAAAGTTCATTCCTTTGGTAAACAAATGTTTGCAACTGCACTACAGAGCAATTTTCTCTGACTTCAAACAGAATTCAAGGAAACCCATCACTAAAAATAGTACTTGATTAATGGAATGATTAAAATATTTCCTTTAATTTACAGATCAAATAATAGATGCCTGTACAACCTAAATATAAACAATACTTCTAAGTTGATGAAGGTTAATTATACCATAATGATACTCTACACTTGAGTAATCTTGTTTCTGTGTCAAAACATAATCAACTTTTTTTCTTTTTTTTTAATAAATCGAAAACCCAAGGTGTGGAATTGATTTTTGTCAGATACACCTACAAAACCGGGGTCTGTAAATGAATGTGATCATTTCAAAATCATTTTCTTAAATGAATAATTATTTCGTTAGCCTTACAGTATATGTCAGAAAACCTAATTTAAATCACCTTACATGTGTTCACTAATACCTAATCAGTTAATGTATACCACTTAAGTGACCTTTTCAAAGTATGGCACAATACTAGTGAGATACTAAAGATGAAGTAACATGGAGATCCAAAGTCTATTACACCTCAAAGCAATCTTTTAAATTTCAAGTAAGAAATAACAAGAAGAGAAACTAGTTAACATTATACCTGTGTATGAAAACTTAACGTGCACCAAGCATCAGGAAACAATAATAAATTTATTTGGGATTCCCAACAGATATGGTTCCAAAAACTAAGGGAACCTATCTGATTTGGAAATACAAAACATGAAAAGATCCAAAATTTGGAAGACCACAGCAAATTGTTGGCAAGATGAAACACATTTTTAATATGCTTCCTACCAATCTATATTGTGGCGACTATTATAAACATCAAAAAGTCTCAATAACACAGAAATGAAACCACTTATACGGGTGTAACCTTTAATCTTGTGCTGCTGACTGCTAATCTGTTTTCGACAGCTTTATCGGCTGACCAGAAAATCAAATGCACAAAGATGCATGCATCACAAGAAAACTACAGACTCAAGTCATACATTCACATCCGAAGACCAAATAAAACATAAAACCGATTATGAAATTTAACTGGACTAAGTTTTAGTCCAAATAGAAGATTTTGAAAATCCAACTAATGTAGTGAGAAACAAATTTAGTATTTCAGGTGCACAATGTCTAACCTAATTGCATGCCTCTACTAGGCAGAATTTACTGCCAAGCAAAATTATGGGCGAAGCCAGACGTACACTGGCAACCTGTCAAACGCACTGCAGTCAATGCAGGATTTCAGCTGGTAACCTGTTTTTGTGCAGCAAACCTTTAAAGTACTCAGCTGATCGATTTAATGGAACAGCTCTGAGTTCTGGCTCCCAATATGCACCAATCCTGTACGAAACCATGCAGAAAATGATACCCACTAAAGCACATTTAATTAAATGTTATTTCATATCAAAAACACAACCAACTTTTATACTCTAAAATCTTACATATGGAAAGTATATTTTTTTAAAGATACAACTGACTACCAAGGCCTTGATCAAGGAAATGTATATAAGAACATCTAATAACAATAATCACAGTTTTTGGTTCTTCCAAAAGAGAAACAATGAATGCTGGTATTTGTGGGCGTGGTTCTGTATAGATATTCAAATGACTTTTCCTCATTGTAAGCTACATACAAAAATGGCACTTTCAAGGTTATAGGGCTCCTGGGTTAAAAAAGGAGAGAGCAAAAAAGATGTATTTCCATGACTGGCTCAAGAATTATACTGTGGTATACCATTCATACCACAATTATGGTTATCTAAAGTCAATATAAATATTATGCTACAGTACCATCAAATGTCTTCATTCAAAGGCAAGAAAAAGTTCAAAGGCAAGGCAGATTGTTGAATTTTTATCCCATTCAGTACTAAAATTTGAAAAAAATTCATCCTTCTTCTCAAGTGGTAAAGATCACAGAAATGAATATAGCAGGGCCTGCTGCTATACAGAACCAAACTTATTAAATTCAATGATGAAAAGGATAACTTCACCAGATGCAGTTACTACACGGAGTGGGAGTTGCTTTTAGAAAAATCTTAATTGTGGCTTTTTTAGAAAACAGCACAGCTAAAATTTTTTTAATCCCAAACTGATGCAAAATGATGCACGTTATCAGAATTCAGTTACACAGCCAATTACAGGAATTCTAGGCTTATGCCAAAAAACCATATTAAAAAATGTACAACAAAATGGAACACTTCTCCAATCTCAGTAATTTTCTACACAATCTTAATTTTCAGAGAGGGCCTAACAGAACACTGTTGGGTTTATATTACGGCCAGGAAACAGTAACTTCATTCTTGCTATGTGAATTAAAAATTTGTTGATTTTACTTAACACATTTTTAAATCATTTTGAATCATCAACAATCAAGCAAACTACTTTCAAGTTAAAATCTAGAAATAATAAGAAAATTCTACAAACTATATGTAAACAAACTTTGGTTTCATTTGTCAAACAAATTAAATACAAAATGTACAGACTTACTCAATTAATTCTTAAATACTACTCTGGACTGTCACATCTCCATTTTACAACTCTGAATGCAAGACTCCATATTTCTTCTTTTGTTTACACAGAGTGGTGTGCTACAAAAATAATTTTCTACATCATTTCACCAGGGTTTCATTGTCTGTACAATAAATCACATTTCCTTTTTATGGTTGCCAAGGATGCAGCAAGACAGACCATTTTTCAGTTGGTTTTTACACACACATGCATTCACAACATCTGACAACATTATGCTGTCCCTAAAATACCAACTGTTGGAATACTGCATGCATTACATTTACAAAATAAAGGAATGTACAGTATTCTTGTCGGCATATAGTTGCATGAAAGCATTAAGGACTTCCCTGACCATTCAGCAACAAGCAGTGAGCAACTTTCTACTTGTGTAAAATCTGTGCCAAAGAGAAGGGGGGAAATCAATGGTCAATACTGTCTGGGAAAAGGTTGGGATTTGCAGGAATTGGTGCTAACAATGGAAGGGGTTTACGGGTTACAGAGGTCAACTTTGAGATGCAATGAAGCAGGGAGGAAGTTCCGAACAGGAAGAAACTTCATTTGAAAGTCAAGTGTTGACAAGTCTGTGAAGCAAGATCTTGAGATGGAAGGGGTGGGGGGAGAACGCACATGGCACAGCAAAAGGAGGTTTGAAAGTTGCCCTAGATAATAAAGTTGTGGATCCCAGAGATTTTTCGATAACTGGACAACACAGGGCCCAATAAAGGTTCAGAGGTTGCCTAGGAACTGGTTTCAAGAAGAACAAGTAAGGTCACCTATCAATCAGACATCTGCTGGGTGAGGTGTTCAAGCAAGATGAGGGTACATGTATCTGAAATTGAATACTGTGAAGTTATGGGCTGCTGACCCAATATTAAGCAAGTCACTTTCCAGGGCAGATATGTGTGAAGAACAGGCTTGTTTTTGCCCAAAACGGTAAAATCCAACATGGAGGGAAGACGACTGACAACTATGTAGACAACTACGTCTTTTTCTGATGTGCATTTGGGCTCCATGCTCAATACAACACAGCCCCACTGGGACACCTAAATCTCTGCTTTTTACCATTTCACTGAAAAGCTACATATGCAACTGAAGGGTGAAAATCTTTCTTTGAAAATTGTATGCACAAATTCAGTTTAAGGGATGTCACACCTTGTTTGCTTGTTACAAAATGACATGACCATGCAGGTCATGGTCATACACTTTAAGTTTTAAGTCCCTGCATGTAGGGAAGCATGAATTACCATGGACGTTGAATCTTTTGATACTTTCAGAGTTTAAACTAATTTTTCCAAGAAAACTAATCCCTTCAAAATCTAAACTCAGCTGGTACAGCTGATGCAAAATGCCACTGAAAAAGCTTTTTTTTTCTTCAAGTTCAAAAAGCAATAACAATGATTTTTCTAAAAATGCAATAAACCCTTAACAGCTACACATTATTTCTTAATTTCTTACTGCTATAGCTAAGCTCAAAGAACAATACCTCCAGTACTGAAACTTAACATCACATTTAAGAATATCAAAATCTCAGCTAATACAATGCCAAACTATCCATGGTATATCAGTTTGAAGACTGTTCAAAATGAATTCTCAACTCAGACAAATTTTTTAAAAATGACGTCCACAAACTGTTGTTGATTTAATGTACATGCACATCAAACAAGTGACAAGAGGACATACGGAACACATATTTACATTTTACTGTGCAGTGCTGTTGGCAGAGTATCCATTGTGTGTACTGTTTGCAGCACCAATTCTCAATGTTTCATAATCGCCCCAGCCGTCACCTTGCCCTGCCCCCTCCTCAGAGAACGGAATACTCTCAGCACTCTCGTACGCTGGGTTGGCATGCAGCAGGATGTCATCCAGCTCACCCGAGCCCTTGTTGGACGAGATGTCTGAGTTCTTCTCTGAGAATTCCGAGGAGGCATCTGAGGAGCCCTTGAATGATGGGAAGGACTCAGAGAAGGACATGTTGGACTTTTTGTCATCCCCGTCTGCCATGACCTCGGAGTAAGCCCCCTCCTCGGCAAGGCTCATTTCGGGGCATGTCTTGATGCTGGCGGAGTCTGTCTTGTCCTTTTTGGAGGGTTTCTCACTTTCTGTCATTCCGCTGTCGACACTTGTGCTCTTGGTAAGTTTACTGCATGGAAGTTTACAGGGAAAAAACACTTTCAAATGTAGCAGTGGACTTTTACATTTGTTTGAACTTTTAAGTTCTATTATGAAGGGGCAAAAGAAATGTAAACATTGTTTTGTGGTGCTGAATGAAACATTACAGGGTCCAATCGAATGACATCAAAGTGCCATGTGACTACACGGTTTGTTGAGATCAGCCACCTTTGCAGTAGGAAAGTGTTTAGTCAGCAAACGCACATGCACATCAGTCTGTAAACTAGACTGGCTGATTTTCATGTGAAATAACCACAAATTCTTTACCAAATGGCACTACTTTTGTCATGCAGAGTTGTCATTATCGTGCCAATCCAACAAAGTGCTGGCTTTACACTTTTCTCCAAATATTTGTCATTTATAAAGCTTTTCTAAACACTTTCCTACTGGCTTAATTCTGTGCACAGCACTGCAGTCTTTGCGTATGACAATGGTGGATGTACGCAGAGTCTCATGGGTCAGTGAGAATGCCCTATGGCACCCTAATGCAACTCCAACTCCAACGAATTCAACTTTGGAGTTGAAAATTTTGGTCGAGTACAAACCAACCCTTAAGATGACCATCTCCACTGACACCATATCTTAACAAGAACAAACCTCTTCCGGCATCAAATGACAATGACACACATATAACATGTATGACACACTGGATCACAGGGACACAGCACCCAACAAGAAAACAGACAATCACAAACATCCCATCACAGCTGAACAACAAAAAAGGCTGGACTAACTGCCGGGTTCCAACCTCCATAATTATTCACAGCTCAATTAAAAGACACAAACAGAACCAGGAACAGTATGGCAGCCTCCAGTTGAACGTGAAAATGAACCCTCCTTTAGTCACAGACAGTCAAAATTCAATTTACTTCCCCCACGACACTTTATACACAGTCATGTCGCCATTAGTCCCATAATGCCGGTTGGTACTGCAACTTGTCAAATTCCATTAACCCCTTCTCGACGGGAATTTCTTTCCGAAAGCCGACTCCAAGAATTCCAGCCTCGCTTGGCCACAAAGGCCACCTGCCAAACCACAAATTCTTGGTTTGTGGCCCAGCGTGCTCTGCACGCTTTGAATTACACAGTGAAAAGGCTGATTGTTCGGTGGCATGCGGCTGTACTCACCCTTCCACATTCCCGTTGCCTCTTTTCAAAGTGGTGACTATTGTGAAGCTGGTGATTATGATGCAAATTCGGTCTTTTCATTTCTGGGCTACACACAAAGACCAATTACCATATAGACACGAGCCAGGGTCTGCCTTTCACCATGTTCGCTTGAGCGTGGGCCAAAAATAATAGCTGAAAAGCGGGCTGGGGATCTCAAATTTTACAACGTGTTTTAATGCGTCCCGGCATGAAGGGGTTAACAGACAAATGCAGGTGACAGGTGGACAATGCTGGCTTACCAATCATACGCAGACAAGACCAGTGTTGGCTTCGAGTCCATCACAAATCCCTGTAAGTCCATCACAAGTCATTCAGTCTTAAACCAATTCACAAACTATTCAAATGAGCTGTGACAAAAACATTCTTTTGTCACTGTTCACCCCTTAACTTATGACTGGCCTTGTGAAGGGACTTGTGAAAGGACTTGAATACAACAATGGTCAAGGCACTGCTACATTAAGTCATATCAACAGTCACACCCAATTAGCTCTGCTCCACATAGGCATGGGACCCAAAACTGTTAAAAGCAGTTCCTCAACTGACTTTGTCTGATAGATCAACTTTTTAATATGAAGTTATGGGTTAATATGAAGGACAGCAAGTATCAACCAGCAAAGTGGCATAGACCAAAAGGAAGCCACCGAAAAAAAATGTACCCTCCCTTTGTTCACACAAAAAAGCCCATAGCGGCACTGACAAGTGCATTATTCTCACCATTACCAAACCCAAACTTCATCTGATAAGGCAACAAGATTTACACCAATCCTCCCAAATCACCAAACTGGCCTGTCACCAATGTTTCAAGCCTGTAACTTACTTGTTCTCAAACACAGCCATTCTTTCTTTCATGGTTAAACTGCAAATTCATACAATCGGTCAGTGCTAAACTACTAGAAAAAATAATGCTTGTTTTGGTGAATAAAATTTAAAAAACAATTCTACATTCTTATTGATAACCCACATTCTGTCCCACAACTGGCCCAGGCACCTGAAGATGCCAATTTTGATTCCCAAGAAATGGAGCTTATCTAATTGTCATATTCTAGTAGCGAATTATTTGAGGAGAGGTTAGCTCAAGAAAACTCACGTTGTCGGTGAGGACCTAGGCACAGGTACTGGAGGCTTTCGTTTAGACTTTGGCGTCGTGCCATCTGCCAAGAAAAAAAAAAGAGAAAAATAATGAAACTACAATGTATATTCACCACAAGATTTGCTACACAATTTGAAGTGGTGTTTAGAGAAGTGATGGAGAATGTAGGCTTATGAAGACTCAACAATAAAACAAATTTATATGCGCAGTCCATTTTACAGCCAAATTTATAAGTAGAACAGATCAAAATAAAATTATGGAACACTGAGATAAGAATGAAAAAAGTGAGCTTTCTCTTTTAATATTACTGTGACTTGCTAACCTGCTTTTAAATTTCAATAAGGAGGAAGTGATACAGTCGGAATAAATTTGAAGCACTGCCTTTCATGAATTAGGGGGAAAGTTTCCAAGCAAGAACGGGGAATGTCAATTTGAAGAGTTTGATGACAGTGGCAGTAGCTTGGCCCTAATGAAGAAATGAAGGATGGATGTCTGAAATCACTCACTTCGTCTCTCTTGAAGATTGTTTGTATTTACACCTGCAATGGAGCAATAAGGGGCATAAAATTCAGTAAAATGACATCTTTAATGTGACAGATTGATGGCAGGGTGTTAAGTACGACAAGTTGAAGCAATATGAGTTGGTTAGAATGCCATAATAACCAATATCAACCTTTCTGCAGGACTTAAGTAGACCGTGATGAGGCAACATTCTCCTTCTTTACCAGTCAATGTTGGGTTTTCTTCCACAAAAAAGCTAATGGTGGTGGAGGGATTTTTTGCAAATTCTTCAACCTTGCTGTTTATTTCTGGCACCCATACAATAGGTAGGGAGGTACAACTCTCGAATTTACACATCAGTATTTTCATCGTGTTACCCCTGAGTTCTACTGTTCAGCCGTGTTTCAACTGCCCCGGTAAAAACGGTGGCGTGTGTCCACATGTCAACCGGTTCACATACAAAAGGTCCACAGCATATACAGGCAACACCCATCCAATGTTTGTGTTTTTTGCTTATTGTTTTGATACAAAAGAGTTGCTAGTTGGAATTTTGTAACCTTATCTCTTTTGAAAGAGTGGTTTCGCTCCCTAGCACACTGGTTTACCCAAACAAGGTCTTTAATTCCCTTAGCTCTTTAGCTCCCCAATTCAATTCTAATAACTCAAGAAAGGCATTTCTGGATTATTGTGGGCTCAGGAGTCTACTTAGTACACATGGCAGCATCCACGAGTAGGATAGTCTTCCGCGCTTTAACCCTACCAAGCACGGCGCGTTAACACGACATCCGTAGCAATAAAAAAAATTCTTAAACACATGTACACATCCTCCATGGAGCAAAAAAGGAAAACTGTATGTGATGACATGTTGATGACATGTCATCTAGCGACAAGTAATCACAGAACTACAAGACCCACATCACAACATCACACTGCTAACAACCTACCAGGCAGCGAGTCTTCCTGGACCTCTTCATGGGCTGGCTTGTCCAGGGTGATTTCCTCCGTCTTCTTTCTCCGCCTCTGCATGATGGCCGCCAGTTCTTGGCTGGGGGCATCCTGGGTGGCACTATCTGACCCGGATGTGACGTCACTCTGAGGACCTCTCTTCTTAAGTACAGTCTGCGAACAGTACACAATGAACCATTTCACCTTAAGCCCATTTTTTTTTCATTGGTTGAGCTTAGACATTATAACTTTGCAGGTTTGGTTGCCTCTTCAAGTTAAGCATCATGTGTGAACAATGTGAAGAATTACTTTCCACTGATGCATGGAGGCAGTCAATTAGAGCCATATCCCCTCCCAACCCACAAAAAAGAACAAAAAAAATTAATAGAAAAATGAGAGAAAGGCAATATTGGTCTATGCCATTTGGCTTTTCCTATCAAAAGTGCATAGAAAAATCCCTTAAATGTAGCCTCACCCCACATAAAAGCCACGAAAGGTTCACACTTGACAGTTCTGTTGGCCCCATCTAAAAACAATTTGACTCTCAAAAATTGGGTTCTGGACCTGCCCTGTTGAACAAGTCTAAATGAAAGAACAGCAAGAGTATGTCTTACTAAAAAAAATATAAATGGCATTGCAAATTAGACAAAGAAAAATTACTCTTGAAAAATATCTTCCCATTAGCATAAAAAAACTGACAGCCATATTTCCAATATTTTTATATGCTGTAGATCCAGAATACCAAGACTGCCCCAGTTTGTGAAGTTCCCACTCTGTGACCCAAGCAAAATGCACACCCGTCAGTTTGCTCATGATGATCGAGGATGCCACATGCAATGTTTTTCCTTTTTAAATCTTTGAGAAACATTCTGATGACATATACATTCTGATAGGATCAGGATGTTATGTCCTAACTTCTTACTAGATCATATAATTTAACCCCTTTGCACCGGGAGGCAGCTATAGCCACCGTGAAAACTGAGATCCTCAGCCCGCTTTTCAGCTATTATTCTCGGCCCACGCTCGAGCAAACACGGTGAAAGAAGGCAGACCCTGGCTCTTGTATATATGGTAATTGGTCTTTGTGCGCAGCCAAGAAATGAAAAGACCGATTTTGCATCATAATCACCAGCTTCACAATAGTCCCCACTTTGAAAAGAGGCAACGGGAATGTGGAAGGGTGAGTAGAGTCGCATTCCACCGAAAAATCAGCCTTTTCACCGTGTAATTCAAAGCGTGCAGAGCATGCAGGGCCATAAACTGAGAATTTGCGGTTTGGCAGGTGGCCTTTGTGGTCAAGCGAGGTTGGAATTCTTGGAGTCGGCTTTCGGAAAGAAACTCCCGTCGTCAAGGGGTTAAGGAAGTAAACAACTTGCAACAATCTTTGAGTGAAAGGTTTTATTCCTACAGCATTCACGAGATTTCTAGCAACAAGACAAAAATGGGGCATATTCTATTTCAACAAGAACATAAAGTATATTTTTCAAAAAGCAATCAAACTGAATAAATCCATTAAGAGCTTACCAGCATGCCATTGAGTTGACTCATAGCAGGACTCATGTTCCTGATGGATCCAGGGCCTTTCCTATTCAGTAACGTCTTTTCCTAGAGAATAATGATGTAGAACTTTAATTCCCAACAACCTAGGTCTTTGGGGGCAGTTAGTACACCAATAAAAATGGCAAACATATTACTGGCCACTGATCCATTTTGGCTACAGGCTTCTTCTCAATCTCAGACTGTCTCTGAAGAACCTGGCTATAATGCAATAATGCATGTGTCCACAGAAGTGGCTGAATCCACCTTCTATGGCCAGCAGCTAGCTGTAGCCAGATAATCGAGCAGGGGCAAGATCTGAGGAAACTGAAAAATCTGGAAAAATATGCCTCTGTAAGTACCTCAATCCTCCATTGTCCCCCAACCCTCCATGTCAACAACTTATCGCACCATGTGCACCTGCAGCTTCCTTGCTCGTTGATTTTTCCGATTAATCTCCATTAACTACTCGTCTGCCCCTTCACTGCCTCTTTTTCCACTTGACTTTCAAGGCACCAATATTTCTTGGATTTCTCAAGCCTTTGTCAAGTGAAGGATCTGTATACCATGATCGATGACTTTCAGGGAATAAACAGCCATTCTGATAAACGTTTGACAAACGATAAAACCATTTTCCATAAAAAAGGACAGAGGCGCAGTGCATGACAAAAATACTTTTGGAAGATGTGCCGAGTCCTTACAATTCAATATCATATACCCCCATTGTTCAGCAGCATTCTATTGCACTTCAGCAGGAGTAACAATACAAGACTGTATGCTTTATTAAAACCTCAATCAGCACAAGTCCTACATTTGCTTTTGAATAAAATTTTAAAAGTACTACTTCTAGTTCTGGAAAATGCCATGCCACTGGAAATCCTGAAAAATCTGGACAAATCTCACCCTTGATCTGCATGCAGCCTGAGACTGTGTCCAAATTACAACAGCCAGCAGTAATGCCAGTCTTAGTGAAAGATTTCATAAACCGGGCTCTCTGTTACAAGGCATGCTAATCCCACCTCAACTTCTCAGAAATTTCCGTAGAGGCCCACGCCTCAGATCTGATTTTTTAGAGATCTGCATCAGGAGACTTTGGAAGGATGACATGATATTCCACAGCATTTATGAGTAATCTGATAACATTTCCAAGCATTCCATTTCATTTGTGTTTCCCCTCGATCATGTAAAGGGAACTCTAAACAGCAAAGTCTCTGTGACACATTTACAGATCTGACATCTGGACCAAAATCCTGTTTTCATTGAATTTGCACCATTCTGGAACATTTACAACAGATGTTTGTCCCATTTTTTGTGCCTCTGAACCAGAAGGAACCATTGGATGATTCAGCCTGTTCATTTTCCAGGTAACAGATCTCCAGATCTCATTTCCTTGACCACTTCCTGCCAGGTGACCCGTTTTCGAGTACACAGGCTTTATACACAGAGCCGGGGAGTCAGGAACTGGGACAAAAGAGTTGGGCCTTATGACAAAAGACTGTGCTCAGTACAAAAGACTGAGCTGCTGGGCATTACCGAAATTTATTTGCTCTCAATAGTGGAGAAAAACCAGCCTTGTTTTAAAACAGAATACCACAGTTTGAGGCATTTTGAGTGAGCAGATAACCACTGGGGACAAAAGCTCTCCACCACCGCAGAAATGAGCCACACAGCACCGCTGCATGCTAATCTGGCCCCTGTTGAAAAGAGGTCAGCAGTGCACTGTGCTGGTTTCGGGAACAAAAGAATCTTATGTATTACCGCACAATCTGGGCTCTTTTTCCAAGGCTGCAGGCCTGGCTGAAACATTCAAAAGTCAATGAAGGTTAACTGTCAGCTTTGGAGTAGTTCCAAAGAGTCCTTCATGTGGGTATAAACGGCCATTAAATGAAATGATGAATTTTTGAAGAATTTTGAAAATGGAAAATCTTGAAAAGGACCCGGCATCTTGTCTTGCTCAAGAAAAATCCACCCAGCAGCAAGTGGTTAAAGCAAACCATGTTGCACCAGTCTCCACAGGATATTAGCCACTACATGTGGTATCACTACTTTTGGGTGATAAAAAAAAGTACAACAGTCTCTCAATTTCATGAAAATGACCCAGCGTAAAAGGACTCCCATAGGAACTAGTCGGGCATAATCTTGCTTACTTAGCCCCAAGAATTCCATTTCAGAAACACTACAATAAAAAGCATAGAAACTCTGTGCCTCTGATTATCACACATTACTTGCCAAGATTTATTGAATTTGTTCTGACTTGGCCACAGTGCTGCCCTCGTCTGACTTGGCTCCCCTATCCCTTCTCTCCCTCCCCCCCCCAAAAAAAGAAAACAAGGGAGACAATATGTGTGAGGCATTCCATGGGCCAGCCTACCTCTGTCTGTACTGGCTTCAACTTCACCCGTCCACTCTTGATTCTGTTCATCATCTCTTCGATGGTGGCCTCGTACTGTTTCTGGTGGGGGTCATCTTCTCAAGAGAAAGGTGACACAGACAACATGTAAACAATTAAATGACTTACATTACCCGCCTCCAAACACATGCCAGCAAGAAAACGAATGAAATCCTTTGTGATATGGGTTGAGAATGTTTTGCAAAAGCAATGTTTGTGTTTTCTGGCCAAATTCTTGGTTAATAAACAAACTGGAAAAATCATAGTAATGGACTTCACTTCTGCCGAGTAGACATGTCAGTCTAAAAACACTGAAAAAAAAATAGGTACTGTCCAGATAACTATGGAAGGAGAAAAGAGGTGGTTTCTGAATGTCACATCTTGGTAGGGGACCTGAGAGTATTTGAGTTTCGAACACTTTGGCAATAAAATTTGTATTTTCAACATCCCTTTTCTCTAGGTACACGACACCCCAATTCGAGTGCATTTTCTCCACTCTGTAAGTTTGTGTGATTCACCTGGCACTACTTGTGGCCTTCACTACCATGGACTTAAATTAATTACAGTCAAGTTTTGTGACGTTACAAATGACGGTCCTCAGCAGCCGGACAGTCTACATGCTTTACTCACTCCCTGCCTTGTTTCCACTGCCATCTGTTTCTGTGGGAGCTGGCCCTCCTGCCGCTCCTCCTGCCCCCCCTCCTCCTCCTTTGTTAGCCCGCCTCACACCAATTATCTTGCGAAGAACCCTGCAGAGGGAAGAGATGAAACTTGTTTTCACTGGAGTCGTTGGGTAGTGTGTTAGTTAAAACTGAGGGGGTTCCCTTGACTAATGGCCGTATTTAAGTCAACCAGCTAGACCCACAGGTGCACTTGAAGTTGTAATTCTGAGACAGAATGTGTATGTCTCTTGAGCCTCCTGTCGTCAAGCCCATACTTCACAAGTATTCGCAATTCCTTTACCAGCAATCACAAGTTGTCACAAATAATGACAAGAAATCATCAGTACTGTACATGTAAGTCTCAATGTGAGCAACAAGCTCTCATTGAGACATTAATACATGAACAGTAATAAAATAATAATTCTTCTTTGTTTTTTACTCCCCCCTTCGATGTTAACAGAGAATGTACTTGTGACAACAGGTGTAAAAAAAGGGGAGAAGTTATTAAAGAAGCACAACTACAACAGTGTTAAGCACGTGTGGCCTTGTGACTAACGAACTCTGGATTGGTGGTTTGGACCCACCTGTTGGATACATAGTATGACTTTGAGCAAGTCACATTACTCCCACTTGCCTCTCTCCACCCAGGGCTATAAATGGGTGCCTGTGAGGGCAAATTTGGTTGCTTTTGATGAGCTCTTTGTACCATTTACCTAGTAGGTATATTCCTTGGGGAAGCTGGGATGGTTTTGGGAATGTTTAAGAGCCCTGTGAACAGGATAAATAACAATGTATGGCACCTTGATTGAGTTCCTAGATATAAGTGCACTTATAAATCGATACTACAGTAAAACCTTGACAACTCAAAATTCAAGGGAACGAACAAAAAATTTGCGTTATCCAGACTCTGAGTCAATGAAAGACTCACAGACAGGGAGCCAATACAAGTATGTAGATATAATCATTACAAACTCACTCCACGGTAGCACGACTTTGGTGACTATTTTCCACTTTCTATTCATTCTCATGGAACATTTTTTGCTGATAAATAATCATTTTGCTAAGATTTTTCATAGTTGTTATGTCTAGAAGTTTCGTTTTACCAATAAATAAATAAATAATTCATCACATTAAAGGTGTACCTTCGTGTGGAAAATCTTTGGTCTTTTGCCGATTGTGTTTACATGCACAACGTGACGTGTGCTGCAGAATTCGGGTTTTGCTTTCAAATGGGATTTTCTTATGACATACTTTCTCTGGTCCCGTGATCATGGTAATAGGCAGTGATTAGCTTGTCCACGCATGGGTCTTGCAGTAGCAATCAGGCTAGCCCAAAAGCTGGGATATGTCCTGGTTAAAGTGTGGTATGGCTTATGAAGCGTGCTGTGCAGCATGCATGCCGTGCAAGTGGATCAGGAGTGAAAAGACAATCTGCACTTTGCAGTGATGACCCAGAACGAGGTTTTGTGGGCCAGGGTTTGTACTTTTTGAATCGATTTGGCGGCATTTTTTCGATCAGCGTCACAAAAACTTCAACTTAATTGGGATTTTGGCCACCGGTAATTTGGCTTACGGAAGTATTTATGTGCAACAAATGCCTAGTTTTTTCAGCAAGAACAAAACATGACTCAGAGACGAGCGGACTTTCAACTTGTTCGAGTTTGACTTGTCAAAGATTTACTGTACTTTGATGATTATTATCATTCAGGGAATACTCACTCCAAAGGGGAATGTGGCACAGGTGGCGGAGGAGGGGGTGGGGGAGGGGGTGGGGCCACTGGCTTAAGCATGGCCTTGTCTAGCTCGGCCATCAGCTTCTTGATGGTGGTGTCCTGCTCGGCAATCTTGTCCTGGAGCTTGCGCATGTTGGGAAGCTGGTCATTGACCTTCTTCTCCAGAGCCTCGTTCTCCTCCCGGGCAATGCTGAGCTTGGTCTCTAGGGAATTCAGGAGTTCAACATCCCCAGCCTCCCGAAGGCTGGCTTGCATCTGGGCAATCTGACATCAGGAGATAAAGAAAATCTTTTCCTCAATCACAATTCTCATTTCTGCATCCATTTTAACTAGATTGGTATTTGTAAGAGACAGGGACTTAGAATATTTGTTTGCAGGAGAGAAGCATTCAGCAGGTTCAGTTCATTTGTACATCTCATCAGTAACGTCAACACAAAATGTGGCAATGTAACTGGAATTAGATTTGCAAGGAGGCATGAAGAAGGCCTCATTTTCTGAAGGAAGGCAGTCAGTAGGTCTGGTAGTAATATCGAACGCTGCAGAAGTCTTAGTTTTCTTTCTTTCTACAATTTCTGAAGGGGGGGAAGACAAGATGCCATGGAGCTTGGAGGGGTGGAGGGACATATGCCCAGACGGACACCAAGCCAATTTGACTCCATGTCATCACACACCCACCTCTTTCTCATGTTTTTGTTTCTCGTCAGCCAGCTCCTTGGTGAGAATCTCCACTTCCTTCATGACCTCCTCCATCTTTTCGTCTGGGCCGATGGCTTCGTTCAGCATCAGCATGCTCTGCCGCTTGTGGGCGTCGGCTGCTTGCCTCTCCTTGTACATCTGGATGCAAGTGTAAACAAGAACCATGATGATCAGAAGGTGGGGTTGCTTACTCCGAACTGGGGTCTAAGCGACGAGGATCGGACTTGCCTAACGTACTGAAATTGCATAATTTGTCATTATGGATTCTCAAAGCTCTGATTCCTTGCTGCATGTTGTGATACTTGTGTTGCTGGTAACATTTGAATACGAGTGACTAAACAACATTCAAGATTTTCATTCTCTGTTGGGGGCGGGGGAGTAGGATTATCACAGGCACAGAGTATTTTGGGGGATTCTTTTGAAGGGAAGAATAAGTACATTTTCAAAAACTGAAGGTACAGTGACAAAGTCACATTTCTGTGTTGCTACACCTTGTACTTGGATGCTGACACTCCAAACTCGGTAACCAGGCACAAGTATTTTTCCCATTAAAAAATGTTTCATTATTCAAGTCAAGGTGGAGAAAAGTGGAAGACTAAAACTGTTTTAAAATTGGAAAAAAAACCAGAAACTGTATGAAAGGCAAAAACAATGCATGAAAACTGACAAACTGAAATGTTTGGTTGTCACAAGAGCATCCCTTTCCCAGGTAAAAATCTACTTGCACACTCTGATTCTCACCTGTGCTGCGAAGTTCTCAGCTTTCTCTCTTAGCATGGCTTCCTCCTCATACTTGCCTTTGACTTCAAACAGCTCCTGGAAGACCACTGTCGAAACTGTGGTGAAATATGCATTTGGATAGCATAAGCACCCCTGTTCTATTCCTTAACCATTGGGATTATGACAATCTAGTGGTAAACTGCAAACAAAATCTGCATTCTGAAGTTCAGCTGATTTAATATAAAGCCTGTCCTATGGAATTTATAGTCGGGCAACCTGTTACGACTTCCTCCCCTTTACCTGACAGTGCTTGGTACCATTTTCTTTACATGTCATAAGAGATTTCCACAAACTTGCATGATTCATTCTCCACTTCAAAATTAGTAACACCTACATGTACGTGTACACGTACTTTGCGGGTAAACATAATCCTCAAATTAGCTATGTGCAGCACTTTCCAGGCTAGAAGCAAGATCATGCAATTAGCAAAAGGCAAATTATTGCATGCACACATCGATTTGTGCAACATATCACATTTCATCACAAACTGTTTTTATTGTGCTCACGTCTTTATAGGAGAACATAAGGACAACTGCACTGATGAGTTCTTCGAGAGGAACAATTATTGACAGATTTTCATCACCCCAGCAGGCCACAAGTGCACAGAGGGAAAATCAGCAATGCCATATTTACCAACTTGTGAGTGCAAAAGAGCTTGTCTAACACTGTATTGAAAAATTCAGAATATAAAATTTGGGATCACCTGCCCCCCCCATCAACTTTTTCCCATACTGCCAAAAGAGGGCAGCATAACACTAACCAAAACCATCTCACCTCTTCTGAACTGGGCGATGGTCTGGACCTTCTCCTCCAGTGCCATCTTCACGGATTCGTGGGCCACTCTCTCTGCCTCCAAGGTGGCTTTTGTTGCATCATGGGTTTGCCTCTCAAGAAGTAACTATGCAAGAAAAAAAAGGCTCGATCCCGTTACAGTTCCATTGTCCATCATTTCACTGTGACACATCTTACTCTGTAAACTGACATCTGAGATTCCAGTTTTAGAGAATAATTTATGGTATCTCTCGGGTATGACGCTTGACTGTGAAGAAAACAAGCTTTCCAGACAGAAATGAGCAGGTTTTGGCATTCCAAAGTTCCCAGGAATCTGTACCTCCCCAATCCCTGTGAAGGCAGAATCTTGTCCAAGCAATACACTTTTGGAACAGTGCTGGTCTTCATGTTTCTTGGCCAAAAAATCCCTGAAACTACTTTTACTCCCTGTGCCAGCACATCGTAGCTCAGGCTGTAAACACTTTTTTCCCATGATCTCACTCTCTAGATAACATTACTAGCCAGTGGTGTTTCTTCCTACAAGAGGATGGTAACCTGAATTTGCTTGCTCAAGATCAAAATGCACAGCCAACAGCTAGCTTCAACTCCTCCCCCTCCCCCCATTATCCTTTCAATCCCAAACTGCAAATTCTGACAATCGTTGTCCCTTCTTCTTGGAAAAGTTCCAAGGGATCTCACCTGCTCCGCCAGTTGTTTACCCTGGTGAGAGATGCCAATGACCTCCTCCCTGGCTTCATCCCGCTCCAAGAGGACCTGCTCCAGGTCTCGCTTGCTTGCTACCAGCTGATCTCTGAGATCTGGCAAGACAGGGCAAAACGATGTCAGTTCTCACACTCTGCCCAACACTGCAGAGATCAAGTACCATGTGTCAACACTGTGTACCAATCCACGTAGGATTTAAACGTGAAAGTCAGAGAGTCCAATGGCAATTGTCCCTGGTTGCAGTACACTCTAATGGGCATGCAAAGTAGAGACAGGCCGGTAGGAAGTTCCAACTAGGCTTGTGCATGCACCCACTGAACATGAGACCATGCATTCCAATATAAATTGGTTGCATGTACTCAGCATGCCTTGCACCAGATATGCATCAATCTGTGCACCTACACGATGAGTTCCCACAAAAGAACAGCCGTTTCCATGTAAAAACACACCTTCTCCTGAGTGGAGAGAAGACTGTCTTTCAGAGGTGTAATCATTATCAAGGGTCACAAGTCAATTTCAGGCTGATCACAACTCACTTGTACTCAATCATAAGCCAAATGTCATCACACATGGACTGTGAGCTAATCACTAGTCAACCACAAGTCACACAGTCTCAAGTCAACTCACAACCTAGTCAACTGGGCATCCCTTTGTCAGCATCACTGTTATTATCACAGGGACAAGATACAAGAACATAGGGTGATTAATTTATGAAAGTCACAGGGAGAGGACCAAAGCATACATAAAACCTGGCTTCTTACAATTATTCCATGTACATTTATTGGAAACATTACCTATTACATGTAATAATTCATTTGATTAAATGCTTTATATTCAGCAAAGAGCTTCTTCTTGCTTCTTTAAGGATGGCATCTGGTCATTGAACTCAGGCTCTGCTCAGTGGTTCTGCGCTTGGAAAGGTGGTGTATATGTGCATGGATTATGTTCTGCTTAGACATGTGATAATGCTTTGTCGGCCTTAATGGTACATGTACATGAACATGAAGGCATGCATACATTGTCACTTTGTAGCAGTCGATACATCAGCTTTCATATTGCTTGTGTGGAAAGTCATGTGCACTCTCTGAGACTGGCGTCATTAGAAATTCAAAGCTATTTGCCCGTATATGGTTTGGGGATCCAAGGTTTCTGTCAGTGTCTAATCAGAATTGTTGCAGGGGGCTGCCACTGATTGGTTAGTTGTGGTAACAGTTAATCCAGGCTGCTTAAGTTTTTACTTACGGCGAGAAATTGTCAAATTCGAATCACTTCACTGTCACAGCTTTGATATAAAACAGTTCATTCAAGCAATATCACAGCTCACTTTGTGATTGTATCCAAATTGGAATTTTAATATGCTGGCTCCATTGGGGTTGTTCCACGAAGGGACTTTGACGTACAGTCCACCAAAGGATCTATACTGTGACTGGGCATAGCGTCTCATCTGTGTCTTTTCTTTTTTGTACCGCTCTGACTTTGCTGTTTAGTCTTTGCTATAGAGTACAATTTAGCAACCAGCAGATTGCTTTTCAATGAAGGATGCTGCTAAGCTGTCTTTTCATTGACTAGGCTAGGCCTATGCAGACGGTCGTGCTACGTGGCTTCACCAACTTGGAAGTCGACTTTCTCTGGGCTGGTTTTTTTCGCAAGATGATTTTTGTTTTTCCATCAGAATCTCTTTGGAGGAGCCGAGGTCTAGAACGTTACACCTGCCCTTCTCATTTTCTTCGTGCAAGCTGGAGTACTTGCTGTCCAGGACATCCAGGACATCTGGTTGCTTGCAACATCAGGGACAGTTTTTGTTGGAACACCGAACTTCCAATTCATTAAGTCTAACGCTAACCTTAGCCTAACGTAGTTGAGTTTATTTCACTAACCTCCAATAGGTTAGACAAAGAGGCCTATTTACATAAAACCTGGCTTCTTACAACTTTTTCACATAAATTTATTGGAAAAATGACCCATTACATGCAATAATATTAATTCTGTGTAGAGGCTATTTTAATTCACAATATCCTTGTTATGCCAACAACTCAATCAATAAAAAAATAAAAGGTTTCAAAAAAAAATCAAAAGAGGACAAAATGCAAGAGAAACCAACAGGACAATAAAAGAAATGTTTGTGGTACCGGTACTTAACAGAAAACAAACGAACTCTAATAATTCTGATTTGGCTTACATTTTGTTTTGCGATTTGATTTGATACATATTATGTCCAATCTGATGGGACATGGCATGTCATCTGACTTGCAACTGAATAAATAACAACTTCACTGCCTTTCAGACCTCAAAAACACATGGACAAATACATAATGATAGTACATACAGATGTGTACAGCCATGTTAGTCTGCTGCAGACATCAATACATGCATACCGAAGGGATGGCAACTTGAAAGAATAACTAAATTCAAAGAGAGGCACACCTTACAGCTAAAGCTGTGTCTTCAGAAGAAGTGAAAGAAGTGAAAGAAAGTTTACAGTTCTCTTTAACTTTAGTTTTTTAAGGTGCTGCTGTTCCTTCAGTACATTGACATTTCTAGTTTACAACTGAGTCGCTGCATTGTAACCATGGCAACATACCCTCTATTCTGGCATTGAGTTCTTTGACCTGGCCTGTGTCAGCTCCATTTTCTGTCTCTTCTTCGTCCCCTTCTTCCAGCGACAGTTCAAATTGACGGACCAGATCCTCACCAGCTCGGGAAAGGAAGGCTGCACTCTTTCTCTTAATGTCCTTGTTCTCTTTCACCATCTACAGGGCAAAAATGCAACATTGTTAAGGTCAAACAAACCATGACTGCTGTACCTGGACCAAGGCAAGTTCACGCGGCAACCGTGTGTGTTGACTTCTGGTTGATTTCGCCTGGTACTTAGGATGCCAAGTTTACCAGAGAAAATAGACTAGTGGTCAAAAAATGGTTGTCCCTCAAACTTGCCCCCATTTGCAACTCATGAACGAGGAGAAAACAAACTCAAGAAGTTTCTTTGGACATACAAGTTCCACTTTAGCTTTCTCCCCCGACTAATACGCCTAACATGTCTTGTCCAAATGAATCAATGAAATTGTTTTTTGCCAAACCTCTTGACCTCTTCACCAATGTTGCAGTTCCCAGACTAAAAGTCAATTTAAAAGTAACTAAGAGCATCTGTAACTCTCTCACATCATACATTTCTTTATGTATTGCACGCTTCAATACACATCATTTCTCATAATGCCCTTTACATGATCTGTCATGCCTGATGACAAGAACGTACTGTCGCTTCCCCAAAACAAGACAGAAAGTAATTCCTCCTTGGGGGGAAGGGGTGCAGTTTTGACAGTTATGTAGGTGCAACCCAAGCTAAACTCCTTGTTACAATGGTTAACCAAACTTTGTTTGTCAAAATCCTACTCTGACTTTGGATATATGGATCTCTTAGCAGAAATTAAAATTTGAACACTAAAATGAATCAACCTCCAAGTCCTATGAACAAACACTGAAATTTGTAACTTTTTATTTTAAATCTCTGGAATGAAATGATGGATCAAGCTACACATATTCACAGAGTTATTTTCAAAGTAGTAGAACACAAATCCAAGTACAGGAGAGCCTGTGAAAGTGATAAAACTTCCCTTTGAAAGATCAACTTACAAATATAATACCTAAGCCCATTATGTCTTGAGGATGCATGCTGCTGAAAATAACCAGCAAATCCTGTGATTTGTGTTCGCCTGGAGGCAGGGCAGTGCTATATCATTGTCGCTTTCATTGCCAATTCCTGCAATATGGCTTCTTCCCAAAATAGAATTAGTGCTTTAATCAACCCCAAGCCATGAATAATTCTCAGGCAAAATGGCTGTTTGCCAGGCGGTGTGAACTACTCAGGGTCCATTCAAGCATTAAAAACCAACAGTGAACCTCTTTCTGTAAAATTGCTGGCAACAAAATAAAAGCTGCAACCAAAAATGAAATGTGGATTATACAAGGGTGAAAGTACCATGGTAATGGGCTCTGCCCAATTTGAATGAACTATGTAGCTGGCAGCACATGCCACATAAAGCCTAATTGCATTGGACTTGTATCACATCAAGCGAATTGGGGAGGCAAAGGTGTGAGGACAATAAACAGAGCATGGTGATCACGCAGCTCTCTGCCATGACTCATCGCAGAAATTAACAAATGGGATTTTTCTTCACTAGAACAAAAAAGGTTCCAATAAACCATACACGGCCACTTGTTATTATCAGGCAAACATAAAATACCCATAAATTTAACCCGATTTTTGAAATATTACATGACCATTCATTATTGAATGTTCATGCACTTTGTGTCTCTTACGTGATGTCAGTTTGCACATAACATTTTGTTCTTGTCATATGACGCGAAGGACAAAACATGTAAAACCAAAATAAGGCACATGTATTCATTTGGTGTACAAATGTCACAGACATTATGTCAGTTACAAATGGAAGTACTTATAATGATGCATTAAATAATTGTTTGAGTCTTTTTACATAAAGAAATAATCATAAAGAAATTATGATTGTGAGAAAAAAAATTTTTTTGAGTCAAAAGAAGTTAAACATTCAAGATTTTTCATTGACAGGTCATCAGATTTAGATTTTTACATGGCTACATCATTCAAGGAAACAAAGGGTGTTGTAAGTTCGTTTCCTTGTCTATTCATTAACAACGCGACACAAGCAAAATCATCTGAAAAAGTCAACATAAAGGTTTCCTCATGTCCATAATGTTTTTGAAATATGAGGCAAGAGAGGTACAAAGTGGCTGTAAACATCCGTGCGCTGTGGGTGTTCTACCGCTGTTTCCTTTCGGGCTTGAAAAAAAAATGCAGCATTTCCCTTTTCCCCGCTGGAATCTCCAACAATCTATCATTTATTACATTTAGAGATCTGGATTTTCAACACAACAGGTTACTTCATGTGCATGTATTTTGAGGATTCAGATCCTTCATTTTTTTTCCCCTTAAATTTGTATCCCACCCACAGGTTAGGGAGTCTCACACCATATAGTGTGATTAGAACGAGCATCCTTTTGGACACTTCTTTTGGTTAATTTTAGAAAATTATTCTCTTCTTCTCTCTTCTGAGGGCATGTGGCCAAGAGGTTAGTGTCTGTGGCTTGCAATCATAGGGTTGGAGGTTCGAATCCAGCTGTTGGCAGTATGTTGTGGCCCTTGGCAAGACACTTCACCCTTGCTTGCCTCTCTCCACCCAGGGGTATAAATGGGTACCAGCATTCGCTGGGGAAGCAACCTGCGATGGACTGGCATCCCATCGAGGAGGAATCTATATTCTCAGTCGTTTCATGCCAAGAAATCGGAGATAAACATGGGCCTGATGAGCCAAATTGGCTCAGACCAGACTTGCTTATTCTCTTCGCACTTCACAATACCTTTTACAAGGTGAAAAATATGGACTTTTTTTGCATTTTGTAGCATTTATGGATAAGGGGGATTCAGTGTAACTGACCTGGGTACAATGTATTATGTTTGATGAGAATTTTGAAGTCTTATTTCAAAGTTAACTCTCAGTGCCATCACTTTATTGAAAACGTGTGACATACTGTGCTTGTAACAAATTGCCGGAAAGAGCATCAAGGCTCTTGGCTCTTTGCAAATACCAGTGTGGTAAGCTCATGACATGTTTATTCACCATCACGTTCTTTCTATAATTGCCAACAAATTGAACATCATCGGAATGTTTTAAAATGTTCAAAAGCAAATGGATGAGACAAACAAGTGCCAATAATAATGCAGTCATTTTCAGTAACTCTGCACATTAAAAATAAGTCAACATGTCCCTAAAATATCAACCAACTTTATGGAAATTGAGACCACGCACCAACAATAGAAACACACTGGACTTATATCATGAAATGCTACCAGGAAATGTATCTAGTGGTTGATGACCCAACAATAAAGTTCAAGTTCCCGTTTACGGATACCCTATCCTCATCGGGTCACTGCACAAAGTCTACATCCAACAGTGGTTAAGTACAACACAGTTGCAATATCACGAGTACTGTGCTAGGGAACTCTGGCCCCTTGAAATATCCTTCCATACTTTAGCAAAGTAGATTTACACCTTTGCATAGCACATGAAATGTCATATGTATGCCACACATGTATACTGGTATTTCGGGGATTGTTTAATTGCTCTTTTTGCAAGTGCAGCCTCATTTTCATTCCAGATGAGGTGACTTGTTGCAAAGAGTGAACCTGCTTACGTGTTGTGCTCATCAACTGCACCTGCAGGCCATCAATCCAATCAACTGAACACTTCCTATATATGATTTTGAACCTTCCAACTAATGTTTCAGTGTGTTTCTCCTTCCAAGTATTCTTCACAATTTTGGGGAATCAGAATGTACATGTACGCATGAACCCTTTTGTTTCTTTATCACCCTAAAGAAACACTGGACTCTTCATTAACCATGTTTATCAATACTGCACAGTGGAAGACAGTCGACGATTAGTTGAAGATTGTCCACTTTGCCCACTTCTGCAATGTGTCATTAAAATAAGCCTATACTAGCACAGTGTGGCCTGATACATGACTGGGCATACATTTCTCCCTCACTGGAGTAGGCCTACCACAGATTTTGCCTATTTCTCCTGACTAACAAACTGCACCTGTCCATAAACAGTTAACCATAGGAAGTACATGGTATACAGTGCAATTCAACAACAGAATTAGAAGCCATTACAGTGGTACAGTACAATGCCTCTGGACAGGTGGTACATGTGCATTATACAGTACATGCCTAGTGGACTAATAGGGTGTCGTGATTTGTTAACACACACACTTCAAGCTGAAGACTGTGTGTGAGAGTGCCGAGCCACTGCAGTTATGACATGTAATAGATGCAGTGACCACAAGTAAAACATATCAAAGCAAAGTATCAAAAAATGGTATGAACTGCCCAAAACAGCATTTCATATATGAATATTTTTTGCTTCTTGGAAACCATTTGATTTTCAGGGGGTTTTCTGTAACTGTCTGTACGGTACCGGTACATATCTTCACATTGTCACATTATATTCTTACGACCATATAGAACCTAGACTCAACCGGTTCATTAATTGGCAGGTCGGGACCTGAAAGTAACACAGCCAAATGGACTGTGTGGATTACAATTCAAAGAATTCTACAGCAAGACAAAGATGTACATGACCTTGCAAATGTGATTTTCTAGACTGATTCTCTCAGACATCTTTATGCACACAGCCCACGGGTAAGGCATAGTAGGATGTGTTGGACACTGATTTCTGAAACAAAAGTTATGCAAAATTTCGACACAATCTCATATGATAAGCACAATCTAAGGATTTTTTGCAACAGTGGGACTGAGGGCTACATGCACTTACCAGGCTAAGTACAGTCGCTACATGTCCATGTACATAAAAGAACTTTTCTGCAGTGTGTGGACATGAAGACACTGAAATGAAGCAAGCCTGAGGAGGATGTTTCAGCCATGAGCCTCCTCCTCCCACACACACAC